CTCCTGCAAATAGGTTCCTAATTCCTTTGGTCAGGAATTGCTTCTTCCTTCTCCAAACCCACCCCACCCCCACGCACTCCATGTGCACTGTCCATGTGCCCCTTCATTCCTTCTGCACATATTTTTCATACACGTAAAGCCCTCAGACCTCCCACACTGAGACCTTGTAAGCTCATTTAAGTCTTTCTTGAACCCCACGACAAAGGGATTGATGTGAGCTCTCAGTACTAAAACACTACTGATTTTAAGATTGGATGTAGCCTTTCAGCAAAAGGAGAAAAGAATTAAAAAGAGAGAGAACAAAAATCTGCTATACTATGCTGCAGTAACAACCAACATAATAACTAATGCTTCTAGAAAATTCCCCATGTGCCAAACTCAGTGTTTACAATGTATTATGTCACTTGATTCTCAACACACCCCTGCATGGTATAATCTTCTGTCTACATTATCCACAAGGAAAAACACAGTTCCAGAAAAGCTCTCCCATTAAGCAAGTGGTAGAGGTGGGATTTGAACTCAGGCAGTTCAGTTGGTTCCTATAGCCAATGCTTAAAAAAAAAAAAAAAAAAGAAATACCTTACATAATAAGCTGTATGTTTAATCAAAATACAGCATACATACAGAAAAGTGTGTAAATCGTATCTGTATAGCTTGGTGAATGTTTACAGGTTAAAACACCCATATAACCATCACCCAGATCAAGAAATCAAACATTGTCAGCATCACATAAATTGCCATGCTTCTCACGAATCACTGCCCTCTCTCTCACCCAAAAGTAATCCTTATCATTTCTTGTAACAGTACAGATTCATCTTTACTGCTTTTGATCTTCACATAAACATGTTTTTTGTATGCCTTCCATAACTCCATATTATATTTGTGAGATTTAGTGACGGTGATGTGTGGGGTTGTTGTTTTTGTTAATATTCATCATTAGTAGTAGTCCATTGTATGACCACTTCATGATTTAGTTTCTGTATTGTCACTGATGGGCATTTGTGGGCTTTTCCACACTTTTTTTGGCAGTATAAATGAATGTTGCTATTAGCATTCTTGAATGCATTACTTGTGACATATACACACATTTCTGCTAGGTATATTATTAGAAGTGGAACTGATAGGTTGCACCATATGCAGACATTCAACTTCAGTAGATTCTGCCCAACAGATTTACATACTGGACATACTAGCTTATATTCCCACTAAAAAGGTATGGGAGTTCCAGTTGTTCTAATGCTCACAAACATTTCCTATCATCAGTTGTTTTAAATTTAGCCACCCAACTGGGAAGAGCCCGTATGTTTTTGGTTTTTTTTTTTTAAGATTTTATTTATTTATTAGAGAGAGAGAGTGAGCACAAGCAGGGGTGAGAGGAGGCAGAGGGAGAGGGAGAAGCAGACTCCCCGCTGAGCAGGGAGCCCGATGAGGGGCTCAATCTCAGGACCCTGGGATCATGACCTAAGCCAAAGGCAGACCTTTAACTGACTGTGCCACCCAGGTGTCCCAGAGCCCATACGTTTGACTGCTAAATTGCTCTGCCTTCCATAGTATGAGATTCTGTACTTTCCAAATAACTTGCCACAAACTAAAACACAACAACAACAAAAATCAATAGGCAAAGCATCTTTAAGTTTTCCTTCCAATTCTGCTGTAATGCTTATCTTTCTTCTTTCTGACTTGGCTTTGGAACAGCCTCTCCTCTCATCTCTTGGTTGTGATTCTATGGCTTATTATTGGCTATCTATAATTATGATCTATTATTTATTAACTTCTAACACATCATCTGACTCAAACTTATTAATTCTTTAAACACCCATGATCACTTGCCTGGGCAATGTCATGTCAAAGGAGCTTTATTAGTGCAGCTTGGAAAACTCAACCTACATCGCATGGATTCTTTTGAATGGTGATGATTACAATCTTTTATCCCCCCTTGTAGGGAAGCCAATGGGCATTGGTGGGAGGTAAGATGAAGGTAAGACTTAAAAGGCTGTCTGCTATTGCTCTAAGACCAGATGAATGCATGAGGCCACCCCCAAGCAAGATAATAATTTAGTGCCCTAATCAACCAAATATTCTTCAAATATCTGTGTAACTTTTCTTTAAAGGAGAAGCTAAGTGGTTTGTGAAGAAAGGGTTAAGAAGGAGTACCCATAGCTGCAGAATACCATCCCCTCTCCCATCCTGAGCAGCTCTGTTCTGGCCCCACTTTGGTGCTAGGGTGTGCTCCATGTAACCAGGCACAGCGTTCTTAGCAGGAGTTGAGAAGAAGCATCTCGTTATTGGCTCATGCCCCTTGAAGGTCTCACCCCTTTCAACTTACTGCTATATTCCTTCCAACTACATATAATACTCTGAAATGCATGCTAGTACTTAACTTTTCTCAATTTTTTTTTTTTTTTTTTTACATTTCCAAAGATGTTTTAGAGTCTCTATAGATTAATATTCTGGGCCCTTTCTTGTCTGGCTTGTCATTCAGTATAATTCAGACTGGATCAGAAAAGGCAACAGAGTCATGCTGTGGATTATGGTCATTCTCAACAGCCCTCCTATAAACCTTCCTGACTCTGCCTTCCCCACCATCACCAGTTTCTACTCGAACTCTACTGCAGTTGGAATTCAATTCAGTGAACACTGGTATAATGCAACACTGGAATATATTATATGCCAGTGTTTACACATCTTACATTATTTAATCATTACAACAACTCTTGGGAGACGTTTCATTAAATAGCTAAGAACATGGGTTCTGGAGCTGAAGAGATGATGGGTTGAATCTTGGCTTCATCACTTAATACTGAAGGCATCACCCTTATGCCTCAGATTTTTTTTAAAAATCTGGATTAAAATAATAATCACGTCATCCTATGGGGTTGTAAGAATATCATGAGATAATGTTAGCAAAATGTTTGGCATGTAGTAAATAATCAATAGCTATGAGTTATTATTATTGTTACACCATGTGAAGAAGGCACTATTAATATCCCCATTTCGTTAAAAAAATGGGAAGTTAGCAAGTTGAATTTGGCCAGGATCACATAGTCCAAACACAGTAGAGACAGGATTCCAACTCAGACCCGTTCAACTCCAGAGTGAGTGTTAACATCAGCCAGTCGGACATTTGTAGCTTCACTGAAACTACAAATTCAATGTCAACAATACAGAACTCAAAAGAAAGCTAGGGGAGATCTTCTTTCAGCTGATTTCAATCAAGGTCACTGGGTCTCCTTAAGAATAGTTCTTCAACCAGATGGTCTTTGCTCCATCTTTAAAAATATGCAATGCAAAGAAACCTTAGCACATGCTTTACTGAAGTCTCACTGACTTCTATCAAGAATACAAATAGGGCGCCTGGGTGGCTCAGTTGGTTAAGCGACTGCCTTCAGCTCAGGTCATGATCCCAGGGTCCTGGGATCGAGTCCCGCATCGGGCTCCCTGCTCTGCGGGGAGCCTGCTTCTCCCTCTCCCACTCCCCCTGCTTGTGTTCCCTCTCTCGCTGTGTCTCACTGTCAAATAAATAAATAAAATCTTTAAAAAAAAAAAAAAAAAGAATACAAATAATGGTAATCTGCCATGAAAATGTGTGTGTGTAAAACCACCTCAGTTCTTACTAATTATAACTTCATTTCCTAAGTGCTACCCTTTAACAAACTATTCTTTTTAAAACTACCTCTTTTGGGAAATACAAACAACCTGAAAAATCATGCTAGGTTCATCTGTCCATGAACAGTTGAGAAGGTGAGAATAAACAAATTGCAAAGCAGAGACCAACCCAAATGCAACCCAAGGAGTTGGGTTTGAGAGCTTCCTATCAAGATGCCACAGACACACCAATAACATCTTGATTCAGAATGGCCCAAAGCCAGCTATGCATAATCACAAGGAGTAGGGTAGTAAGGCATGATTCTCAGTTCCAATTTAGGAGTAAACAAACTATTTATGAGCCAGTTTCAAAAGGAAAATCGGAGGGGCACCTGGGTGGCTCATTTGGTTAAGCATCTGACTATTGATTTTGGCTCAGGTCATGACCTTAGGGTCGTGAGTTCGAGCCCCATGTCAGGCTCCATGCTGGGCATGCAGTCTGCTTAAGATTCTTTCTCTCCCTCTGCCCCTACCCCCCGCCCCCACTCATGCATGTTCTCTCTGTCTTGCAAAAAAAAAAAAAAAAAGTAAAATCAGAGTCCATTTTTGGTAACATTAAAATTTCTGGAATGCTTCACCTAATCAAATTGGGTGGGGGAAAAAAAAACCCCAAAACCCACCTCCACTAGAAATCTCCAGAATAGTGATGGGATCAGATGTAAGACCACTGGTTTAATTAAATCAATAAACAACTAGTAGTTGTCCAATATGTGCTGGGAACTGGAGATTAGAAAGCTAAGTAAGTTATTTTCTTTGACCTTGAGAGATTCACCACATAATGGGACAGAATGATATGTAAGCAACTAATTACAACACAGTAGAGTGAGTCTATAATGAAGTTAACTACAAGGTGCAAAACGTGTAACAAAAGATGTAGTCTCCAACCCTTCATGAGTAAAGAACAAATAAATTTGACCTGGACATCAAGAATCTATGGATTAGCCCAAAGTCTGCTCCCAGTACCAGAGTCATAATAGAAAGCACCTCATTCTCTAATCTTTCACTTTCATGATTCTCCAGTATACTATTAAGCAATGTTCTTTTATAAGACATAATCATTAATAATCCCAGAATGAGCCAGATAATGTGTTAGCCCGCTCATATTTTATATAAACCCAGAAGGAGTGCAATAATGTTGAAATATAAGGCATTGAGGCCCACGGATGGAGCACACTTCTAAAGGAGGGTGGAGCATGGCATATTGGAGAGTGTACTTCACATCATCCGCTAGGCAGGTGCCTACTTCAACAATATGAGGACCACTTCTTTGCACAAGTCCCCGTGATGCTGAAACAGAGAGGCCTCCAGTGTGCCCAAGAGTCCTTGGTATAGGACACTGGGAATGACTTCCCTACCTGACATCCGCAGGGTCTTCCGTGACGAGCACATCTGTCTTGCAGCTGGCCAGAGGGTTGATGGAGAGCTCCACAGGCGGAACCACAAAGCTTTTGCTGACAGGAAGCCAGAGTCCTTGGCCCAAGCTGAAAGTAGACCTGCAATGTAAGAGTTTCCATTGGGGAACTCCCTGGGAAGCAGAGAGAAAACAGCAAATAGGGGCCCCTCCTCCACCCTTCTAGGACCATTTCTTACTTCCCCACCCAACTGAGTCCCCTGCCTTCTCTACAGCACAATTTGGCCAACCTTGCCCAGACCTGTATGGCCATCTCTTAAACCTATTAATCATTCAGCCCATGCATTGCTTTGTGTTGCTAGTTTTCTTTTCCTGACCACCTGTCCCGACTCCCAATAAACAGTGGGCTCTATGAGGACAAGGACTATTTCAGCTTTGCTGTCCCGAGCAATCCTCAGAGCCAACAGGGGCTCTCTAAGTAACTAAGTCAGCAGGGGTGGTCTGCACAAAGGTGAAGAGCATGGACTCTGCATCAATTTGAACCAAACTCTGATTCCCGGTTCTGCCACTTACTCTGCTGTATGTCTTTATCAGCTGAAGTACTGAAGTTTCACACAAGATTCTAGGGAGGTGGTGGGAAGAGGTTCTATGCCTGTAGAATATTTTTAAAGCACTGGACTAGATAATCAGCCATGTCTTCCCCCATTCAGATATCTGAGTCCATTAAGTCTAGATGCCAGACACATGGGAATTCAATTCCCATAGCAACCTGGGCCAGGATGGTACATTCATGCCATTGAGAGTTCCCCTGTACTCAGTGCAGCCTAAAGGCTCACAGGCTCCACTAGGGATGCACGACTATCCCTCCCCAGGCCCCGCTCCCCTCCCCAGCATCATGCCCCAACAGGACTGTCAACTCACCTGAGAATCTTTTCAGGGGCTTGTTCTCCTGTTACTAGGTCATAGCCCCTCTCGAGTGTAGTGTAAGGCCAAGGTCTGTGGGAAGAACAGGAGGGAAAGAAAAGGGGATAGGAGATATTAGTCAGATGGGATTCATAGGTGGACACTGCTTAAAAGTAGCCTTGCAGACAACCGAAGTTCACAGAAGTAATTACAACTGATCCTTAAACAGCACTGGGCTTAGGAGCACTGACACTCCCCACGTGGTCAAAAATCTGCGTATCATTTTTGATTTCCCCCAAACCCTAACTACTAATGGCCAACTGTTTTATTTTGTTGTTGTTGTTGTTTTTATTTTATTTTATTATGTTATGTTAGTCATACAGTACATCATTCATTTTTGATGTAGTTCTTGTTATTTTTTAAGTAGGCTCCACGCCCATGCCCAAGACCCTGAGAGCAAGAGTCGTATGCTCTAACGACTGAGCCAGCCAGGCCCCCCACTAATAGCCTACTGTTGGCTGGAGGCCTTACTGATAACGTAATCAGTTGATTAACACATATTGTATAGGTTATATGTGTCATATGCTTTATTGTCACAATAAAGTAGGCTGGATAAGAGAAAAGGTTAAGAAAAATCATAAAGAAAATACATTTACCGTCCTGTACTGTATTTATTGAAAAAAAAAAATCTGCATGTAAGTGGAACCGTGTGGTTTAAACTCACATTGTTCAAACCCATGTACTGGGTTAAGACTCTTTATAAGAGAATGTCTCCATCTCACAGAAGGACTCAGCCCTTTAAAGACTACTTGTCTGTTTTGGAGTTTATGGACAAAAACCCCATTTTCTTTCTGTATCAGTCCAGTTAAGGAAGTGTCCATTAATTACTTACAGTTTGGGAGGGGGAGTTAAATTTGAGCCTTTGTTCTCTAGAAGATTCATCAGTCGTGTACCTTTAATACTAAAATATAATTCAGGGGGAAATGGGATTCATTCATTGCCCATCGAGTCTTACAGGAACACAACTGTTGTAGAGAAGAGTGCTCTTTGTGGAGCGGTTTTTGGGCCTGTAGTAACAGAGCAGAGGAGTGGGGCTGGCCCTCTGCTGTCCCTGCTCTAATGTCCTTTGCTACTCACCCCTCACTCTGTCCCCAGTCACTGCGCACACACAGGTGTCTGTGAACCGGGTCGGGGGCATAGCCTTCATGACAGCTGCACTCTCCTGTAAGCAAAAAGAGAAAGGGGTTTGTGAATTACTACCTGCCCCAAACAGCCTTGTCCCCTGGCTTCCTTGTTTTCTCAGTGGGCTGCCTGGTTTTAGAAAAGGCCCAGGGAAAGAGCCTGTTCTGGTCTACCCACTGCTGTGGTTAATAAAGGGTTTATTCGGGCGCCTGGGTGGCTCAGTTGGTTAAGTGACTGCCTTCGGCTCAGGTCATGATCCTGGAGTCCCGGGATCGAGTCCCGCATCGGGCTCCCTGCTCGGCAGGGAGTCTGCTTCTCCCTCTGACCCTCCCCCCTCTCATGTGCTTGCTCTCTCTCATTCTCTCTCTCTCAAATAAATAAATAAAATCTTAAAAAAAAAAATAAAGGGTTTATTCATTTATTCATCTGCTCAGGTATTCATTCAACAAGTCCTGACCCCACTCCTTGCCAGGTTCTCGGCCCTGTGCTGAGGATGCAGAGACTGGACACTGACAGGGCTCACAGGTTAATGAGGAGAACAGGAAGTGACCTGGTGGCCACAAATGGAAGTTCTATTTTTGAATATTTAAATTATGATAAAGTAGATTGGCACTAAGAGTATAGTCAGAAATTTGAATTCTCTCCACTTGAATGAACAATTCATGTTCGTCCATAAGCCCCCAAATCAAATGTTACCTCCTCCAAGATACCTTTGATTTCCCCTTCTAGACAATTTGTTTTCATCTATCATTTCCAGATTTTATTTTGTTTTGTTGTTATTGTTGTTCGTCTTAGTTGGTTTTCCTTTCCTCCTCTTCCCTCCCCACCTTTACCCTCTTGTTCCCTTCCTCTCTGTCCATCCATCCATCCATCTGTCCACCCATGTATCCATGCAACATTTTATTATGGCCATATCTTATGCCTGGTTGCATGAATTCTTGCTAGTATCCCACAGTGCCTTTAACATCTTCTCCCTTTGGCCAAGCTCAATTTGGGTGGCCAGCACATGTCTAGTTTCCTTGTTTGTATATCTTCAGAGTTCAGAATCCTGGAAGGGTTTTCCAAAACTCTCTGTCCTACCCTCTTCAGTTATCAGTCCTGCTCCACTGTATATTCCTTAAGGTTGGGTTGACTAAGGTTCAGTCTGTTATTGGCTTTTCCTAAGGTGTATTTGTGGAATGTTCACAGATGCCTTACCAAACATAGATTCTATTTAAAAAATGAATGGGAAACACTAGACTATTTGTAGAGCCAGTGGTGTGTGATTCTTCATGAAAGCAATATCTAAACAGTTTTCCCAAAACCTATTTCACCTCAGGAAGCTGGTGGAACAGGTCACAAGATGGACCTGTTATGGACCATGGACCCTGGTCCACACCTTGGGAGATGCTGATAAGAACTGCCCTGTCTTAGCACACTGCCTAGAACAGAGTAGGTGATCAATGCTGTGAGCTGAATGAATAATTAACTATCTGTGATGGCTTGTAAGTTTCTAGAATATTGCTGTCAGGTTGCCTTCTTTCTCATCTTTGGGTGATCACACACACACACACACACACACACACAGATGAACCTGCAACTCTTCAATCTTACAGTGATTTGGATTGGCCTGACCTGAGAGTTTTTGAACCATGTTTCCCGGAAATGTATAGTTCAATGGGAGAGATTTAGGAAATTTGCAACTTTTAGATCTTAAGTTCCCCTAAAAATTTTTATTTTTAAATCTCATTAATAGTAAAAAAAAAAAAAAAAATGAAGGCTAAACATTCAGATGTTACATACTAGAATTTAGGAAATGGGAGAGCATAGTCACATTCAGTCCAGTGGCCCGGTAAACACATTTTATGCAAACCTCATTTAAAACCACCACCAACAAGCAAGCCCACAAAAACACCTTCTCCTGTCATCTCTGTTTCATTGAGGAAGATATAGAGACTGGGAGCTGAAGTGCTAACAAGCCCATGCTTTTTACAACTACAGATCTTGTGAATCAAGGTTTTTTTTCCACCTTGTGCTACCAAAACAAAACACAGCAGGGAATATATATAAGGGCAACAGAGGTTCTACAACTATAACCCATAACTCCTGATTTCAAAACATTTGTATTTATCAAATAACCTCATTGTTTTCACTCATTCACTAAAAATGTTATGCGTTTGACCTTATACAAAGCATTCTGAGTGTTAAAAAAAAAACCTCTCTAATTTGTTTTATACATTATGATGCTGATTAATCTTTGTAACCCCAGCATTAGCAAGTATCTGGCAAAGAGCCTGGGATTGATAAATGTCGGTTGAACTGAAATGGTAGTAAGACAGAATAAGGAGTGAAGGATGGGTCAGAGATAGCATTAAAAAATATTCAGAATAAGAGAGCTGAAAGACAGGAGAGGGAGAGAGAGGGATCTACTTTTCCTCTTCTCTGGATACCTGGTAAATAGAGGAGGGGGCTGTTCGCAGGCAGGCATGCTCTCTGTAACTCTCCTCTCCAATAGCAAGTTCGAGTCATCCAACAAATGTGTGTGTGTAAGTGTGTGCAGCCTAATGAGCTGCATGCCCAAGGTGAGGAGAACGGAGGAAGAGGGCTGAGATCCTGGAGATTTAGATGAGAATAATTTACCAAAAAGGGGTGGGGGGAGTTAGGAGTCACTGATGATGTGTTAAAATGCGACAGCCCCATCATGAAATATTCACCACTTTAAATACGTCTAATATTAAATATTAAAAGTCCTGGCATTCTCAGGGCTGATTTATGATCTGCCACAACCACAGACCTCATGATTCATAATGGAAGAGGTATGTGGTTGCCTCCAGTCGAGGGACAGGAAGTCAGGCTGGAATGGGCAAGAAGGGATGGGAATGGAGGGCCTTTCTTCTTCAGGGAAAGGGCACAGTGGGTTCCTATTTCTCCAATCTGTAACTCTGCAGGAGAGGGCAGGTCCATTGTCCCCTTTCCCTCCTCTTGGGAATATGAGTGAGAATGAGAAATCTATACAGAGAAAGGGTGCTGCTCTTGTCTGCGTTTCTCTCTTATGTGCTTACCAGGCAGGTTTCCCAGTCCTCAGAACAGACCATTAATTACTGTCACTCATTATACAACAAATATATATTTTGCAGATGAGAAACATCCACCCCAGAGGCCCCTAAAAGGCTGCCTGGAGAACAGGAAGTGAGACAGGGGAAAGAGAGTTGGAGGCAGACAGGCCTGCGTTCCAATCCTCACTTTCTCTCTCCCTGGATGTGTGGTCTTGGGGAAGTCACTTCAACTTTGTGGGTCTCAGTTTTCTCATTAATAGAATGGAAACGATAGTAACGTCAACCTCACAGAGCTGACTGTGAGAAAAAATTGAAGTAGTGAAGGGTAAGGCTCATGGCTCAGGCAGCCAACGAGTAAATCCTCAATAAATTTCTCCCACTTTCCCTTCTGTTCCAAGACAGCACTCCACTCTGATATATGCTGGAATATAACTCTGGACACTGGATAAGTAATTTCCTTCTTACTGGGCCTTAACTTCCCCATCTGCAAAATGGAAAATTGGGAGTAGAAGTTCATCAATTCTGAGTGCCAGTGAAAGTCAGTTATTTATGCTGCCTTTCTGAATCCCTAAACTCTATTTTCTGGACACTGTTTGAGTGTTAGCTGTGATCACTTTTTGCAGTTGGGCTGTGTCTCCAGTAAGATTTCCATCAATGCCATGGCTATTGGCTTTATTGACTCCAATTTCCTATTTTGCTGGCTCAGCTAACTCTCCACTATTTACAACCAAGCATTTCCTTCTTGCAAGATGCAAGCTTCTGATAGCCAGACCTGAGGATTAACCACTTCCTTCTAGGAGTCCCTTCCTCAACTCTGCCTCTGCATACCCAGAGCAGCCAGGCTAGCAAAGAAGAGCACTCCGGGGACACAGTTTGCATGGTTTCATGTGCTGGCTACGATCACCCATGCTCCCTTACTCCTGTCACCACAGAAGTTCCTTGAATGAGGGGACTGCACCTGTCTTGCTCACTGCCACATCCAGCACCCGCTGCACTGCCTGGTCCATAAATAAGTGAGGGGGTATATTTTACGATAGTAATGTCTATGCCAGTGGGGTAAATAACCCCTTTTTTTTTTTATTTGCCTGTTCTCCCCACCAAACTGGGAACTTCTGGATTGCAGAAATCTTTATGTAACCATCTCGATATGCTAGTGATTAGTGTAGTGCCGGATGAGGGGTAGGCAACTCATTTGCTGAATGAATGAATGAATGAATGAATGAATACATAAATACATTGTAGTTTTCATGAATTCAGGCTGAGTTCATTTAGAATAATGGTAGTTCTGCTGAAGACTAGAATAAACTTTCTTATAACCAGGACAGGTATTTGCCAAGGAAATGGAAAGTATAAACATGAGTGTTAATGAAATTTCTAAAATAGAATTTTATTTCACATTAGAGCAGAAACAGCTCTTAAAGCTCATCTAGGTCACATCTTCTCAGCTTCATTTTTCAGAAGGTAAGATACAAGCTCAGAGAGTCAAGACGTTTATACCTGACAACATTTTCTAGGACTTCATTTTTCCTTTGTATTCCTCTGACATCTCTGACTTTCCTGTAATGAGAATCTATTACATTTACAAACAGGGATTATATTTTTTTAATATAATGAATCTGAGATATCCTTAACAGATTTAAAATATACATTTAGATGTGATTGATAATGCAGACCTTCCTTAAAAAAGAGTTTAATCTCTTCATTAAAGTGGTTCATATAAGGGAATTCAGTTATGTGGATTTTCATCATGCTAGTTACTAGAACTCTGTATTATCAGCTCTAGATGAGTTGTACTGGTTTTAAAATATTTACTCTTCATGTCTCCTAGGTCCCTTTTAGTCAGTTCTCATTTTATGTTACATATATTCTCACTCTAGAAACCCTTGGGTAAAAACAACAGAATCCCTCAATTATGATCAATCTTGAGTTTAGCTTGTGTGGGCTCTTCAAAATCACTTCAAAGTGGAATTGCCTTCATGTTAATCATATAAGATTGTGGGAGAGT